GCTCTTGGCAACCGTTCTCGTACATAATGAAGTCCTAACTCTAATGTTTCTACGAGCATGAAATAGCAGGATGGCAGTTAAAAAAAAGCACTAAATATTATCACCAAAATAAAATGGAGGTTGACGCAGGGAACTCGAAGATCAGACAAAATGTCCAAGTGAGTTCAGCGGCAGTATGAGCCATGGCACGGTACTCAGCCTCTGTGCTGGAACGGGCAACAGTAGACTGCTTCTTAGCACACCAAGAGATGATATTTGCTCCTAAGAATGTGCAATACCTTGTAGTAGAACGTCGTGTCTCAGGACACCCTGCCCAATCAGAATATGAAAAAGCATAAAGATCAAGTTAAGTAGTGGAAGTAAGATGTAAACCGAAGTGTATCGTTCCTTTCAAATATCGAAGGATGCTAGGAGAGTGCATAAATTGGGAGACAAAGTTAACACTATATGAAAGATCAGGTCGTGTCAAAGTAAGATACTGTAAGGACCCAACAATACCCCGAAAATGACAAGGATCAGCAAGGAATTCAGAATCTGCATCTGGATAGCCTTTCAAGGCCAACGGGGTAGGCATCGGTTGACAAGCAACCATATTCGCACGTTCCAGAATAGAGTAAGCATAATGAGTTTGAGAAAGATGAAGACCACAAGAAGTGGGTTGTACTTCAATCCCTAAAAAATGGTGAATTGTCCCCAGATCCTTCAGCGAAAACTCAGAGCTCATAACCTGTATAAAGGACTGAACAAGATCTAAAGAAGACCCCGTAAGAAGCATATCATCAACATAGATTAATAGAACTAATATATCTGACGATGAATGAAACACAAAAAGAGAAGGGTCAGCTAAACTACAATAAAAACCATAATCCAAAAGAAACTTACTAAGCCGATCAAACCAAGCCCGAGGAGCCTGCTTAAGACCATAAAGAGCACGCTGAAGCTTACAGACATAAGAAGGTTTGTTAGGATTTTTCATACCAGGAGGTTGCTCCATGTACAAATCCTCAGTGATATAACCATGCAAGAAAGCATTTTTAACATCCAATTGCCGGATAGGCCATTTTCGAACTAAAGCAACAGACAAAATAGTTCGAATAGTCCCAGGTTTAATAACAGGAGAAAAAGTTTCTGTATAATCAATGCCATCAAGTTGATGAAAACCTTTAGCGACTAGACGGGCTTTAAGACGATCTAAGGTTCCATCAGGTTTTAATTTAGCTTTAAACACCCACTTACAACCTATGACATTCTATCTTGCCTAGGAACTAATTGCCAAGTATGATTTCTATGTAAAGCTTCTAATTCTTCTATCATAGCATTACGCCACCCATCATGTGCAATAGCAGCTTTAACAGATTTTGGTTCTTTCGGAATTGTGGAAGACAACTCAACAGTCAAGGCATATTTCGGATTTGGTTTAACTATTCCAGATTTAGACCATGTAATCATAGTATGTGTAGGTGCAGAATTATGGTGCAGAATTATCGAAAGCCATACCTTCTGGTGAAGCTGCATGTGATGGTTCAACAACAGGTAGCTCAGCCTTAAGAGAAAACTCACTATGGTCAGAAACAAGCTGCTGATTTGATGCCTGCGGCATAACTTCAGACTGTACAGCCTGCTGATCCAGTGGCAGCACCTGTTGCGAAGACGCAGACTGCTGCTCTAGTTATAACACTTGGAGCGTCTGTGCTGTTTGCGCAGGAAGAGCTGTATCACTTGGAGCAGAAATCTCAGTTGTACTAGAAGGTACATCAGCTGCTTCTGTATGTCCAGCACCAAGATGAAGTTCCTGTGAAACATTAGAGATAGGTAACAAGTCATCAACATTAACAGGAGCAGAGGCAGAGGCATCTACAGCAGGTTCATTAGTGTTATCACAAGACAAAGACGGAAGCAAGAAAGCATTGTTTATAGCTATTGGTGTTTGTAAAACACAACCAGCAGCTGAACTTGTGACATCTAGCTCATCAGAACATGCTGGAATAGATAAGGTGCAATCGGGCTTAATCGAATCTGAACTGGAGGTCGATTGAATCCAAGGATTCATAACCTGTAAAGCATGTAACCTGATCAGTAGAGGAGAACTTAAACGGAAACACATTTTCATCAAAGCTTACATTCCTTGAAATTATAAACTTTCTAGTTCTAGGATTATAACACTTGTAACCTTTATGTTTTTCACTATACCCAACAAACACACAGAGGCAAGACTCAATTTATGTCGCCTAGTGTCCCAAATGTAGGGAAAACACTTGGACCCAAAAACACGCAACGAACTATACTCAAAATTATAACCATTTAACATGTAAAAAGGAGTTTCATTATGTAAGAAGGAAGACGATAACCTGTTAATCAAAAACACAGCAGTTTGGAATGCCTCAACCCACATAAATAAAGGCAAGTGACTGTGAAATAACATGGTCATTCCTAATTCTCGAATAATTCGATGACGTCGTTCAACCATTCCTGTTTGTTCAGGTGTATATGGACAAGAAATTTGATGTGTAATTGTGTATTCATTGGCAAGAAAAGGAGAAGATAATTTGGAGTTAACAAACCTTCCTCCCATCTGAGGAAAAATCTTATTTGGTTTTACCAATTGACGTACACAAACTTTCAAAAGCAAGAAAGACAACAAAGAAATCTGACTTGTGCTTGAATAATCCAACAATATTTAGTAAAATCATCAACCAAACATGCATAAAATTTAAATTTCGCAATGGACAAAACAGGCGCAGGACCCCACAAATCACAGTGGATTTTATCAAAGGCAGCAGAACTAGAATGAATAGAAGAACTAAAAGGAAATTTACTCATTTTCCCTATTTGACAACTATCACATAAATCGCTAAATTGCAAAGAACCTCTAACATCTATTAAACGTTTATTATTCAAAATAGAAACAACTGAAGCTTGAGGATGACCCAGCCTTTGGTGCCAAATTGCAGCAGTACCCGCTTTAAATCGATTGGAAAAATAAGCTTCGGGCGCACTCGACAATTTATACAGATTATGTTTCTTTGGTGAGAAGTACCTGCCCCGTTTTCCGGTCCTTCACATTAACAGCCACATTAGTAAATTCAGAATCAACAGACAACAAGTTAACTGACTCACAGACAATAAGTTTTGTTTTAACTCAGGAACTAGTAAAACATCTGAAACATGTAAATTATATTTTTGTTTAATGAAAGCATTACATACTCCGTTTATAGGCAAAGAAGATCCATCAGCTATAGTAATTGAGTCTAAGCCACAATAATCTGTCACAGTTTCTAACATAAATTTATTACCTGTCATATGATGCGAGGCTCCTGAATCAGCAACCCAATCAGCATCCACGACTCCGTTGTCTAAAGTCAGAGCAGCTAAAGCATAAGGAAGAGTTTCTTGTGACGCTTTAGGAATCCACCAGTAGATTTTTGCAACATGACCGACCGGGTTTTTCACAATACTGGCAAACTTCATCTTTATACAGCTCCAGCTCTTCTGCTGTCATACGTCGCTGACCTGCTGGTGGTGGTCGGCATTGAGAACCTGAAGCTCCTTTGGATTGAGTCTGTCCACTTTGTTGTTGCGCTTGGAACCCTTGGCCCTGGGAGGTAAAACCGCCTCGATTTAAGCCAGAGTTCAACTGCTTCTGCCGATTTCCATAGAATGCGACATGAGAGGAGATCTGATCCAAAGTCGAGTCAGATGAGCTTGAGAACCAGTTTCGCCGCTGATCTAAATTTTTCAGCTGAGAGACTAATTCGTTGTAGGTTGGACGTGGTGGTTTGAGCATTGGGTTGGACGTGGTGGTTTGAGCAGTGAACGTTTCATATTGGGGTCCCAAGCTTGTGAGAAGACAAAAGACCTTCTCGTTATCGGGTACCATTTTGCCAATTGCGGCAAGACTGTCACAAATCTCTTTGAAGAGACGCAAATGTTCTGCTATAGTCTTATTTTCATCTTTGCGAAAATAAGTCAATTGTTGTCTTAGGGTAAATTCCCTCTCTGGGGAGTCTTGTGCATAAGCATCCTTCAAAGCCCCCCAAACAGAGAAAAATGTTTCCAAGCCGATGACAAGTCCAAGCGACTCTTCGCTTAGGGTTCCACAGATCCATCCGCGAAGTAAGCGATCTGACTTTTGCCATGCTTTGAAATTATCTGTAAGCTGTGGTTGATAATCTTCAGGAATTGGTGTAGGAGGAGCAACAAACTTCTGAGCCTCCGGGAATTCTTTCACAAGATGATCTGACAACTCCTGGCTCTCAGCTAAGCTTAGTATCTGCTCTCTCCACAAGGGGTAGTTTGTTTGTTTGAGTTTCAAGGTAACAAAGTTTGTCACATTTAGAGAAAAGGAGGCCATTGGAAGGGTTTGGAAATTAACCCGCTCTGATACCACGAAGAAATTAAGAAGAAGAAAGAAAGAATGTGTATTGCTTGTATTAATTTAATACCTTTTTTTTACAATAAATAACTGTGTAGTCGTATACTTAAATAGACTACTTTACAACTGAATGGCGAGAATAATGGAAAACAATCTGCTAGACTCTATCCCATGTAACAGAACTTATCACCCTTAAAAGCTCTTATCACCAGACTAATTCAAACCAAGAATAATTGACAGATTTATAGCTGAATTACAACCAACCATTTATAGCTGAATTTACAACCAACCTTATCTCTGCCTAGCTCCAGTCTTTATAGTTCCACCTTACACATAACAGAACTTATCACCCTTAAAAGCTCTTATCACCAGACTAATTCAAACCAAGAATAATTGACAGATTTATAGCTGAATTACAACCAACCTTATCTCTCCTAGCTCCAGTCTTTATTAGTCAACCTTATCACTCCAAGGGGTAGATGCATCCTTGTTACTCCATAGGTTAATACACCAACCATCGTTGCCTCCAATAACAACCATCTTTCCCCTATATTCGACGTTTTCCGATTGTCTGCTCTCATCCATGACCCATAAGCAACCTTATCTCTCCGAAAATCTGGATGATCAATTAGAATCTTGCAAAACGGTCAGAATGACCAAGCATCCCATAGAAGAAACAGAAAGTAGACAATCTTTCATACTTGAATATGATCCAAATCCAGTCTCCTCTCGCCTTCTTTATTTGCATCCTCCTCTTCAATGGTTTATGGATATTAAGGCTCACTCGGATCCTCATATACTCCCTCCAAATGCCCGTAAAATTCTTCGAATCAGCCTCAATAAAAGTGCCAATGCAATTACCGACCTCCTTACCAAGCCTCTTAGACTTGTAACCTATCAGCATGTTATGAATCTGAAACCAAAAGTCGATTTTAGTGATTTCCACCTGTTTTGTATCAACATCGATTGGAAGGTGTTTCAAAAGCAGTAAGTTTTGAGAAAAGTTCCACAATCCACACTTCACAACTCGTTCCAAATCCATCGGATGGATAAATTGGAACACAAATGCATTGTTACCCAAATCCTTTGTTATCATTCTCTTGATTGGCCTCCATACTGATGCAATGGTATTTTTGAGAGCAATAAAGTTAACCGGCTTTTCTATTAATAATCGGCCAACAACACAATATGGTGAATCGTTAGTGTCCTCCGCCCCCTTATCCCCATCCTCTGCCAACTCCAGCCTACTTTGCTTCTCCTCCATAGACAGCCACACATACAATTCCTCGATAGAGCATGTTTGATTGCCAAAATCAGCCATGTTGAATCACCAACAACGATGATAGATAGATATAAAACAATAGGAAAAAACTTGTTACAAACGGAACAAGAGTGAGTTTAACTTGTCACATACGGAACGAGAGTTAATTAGGCTTTTTAATTATTTTTATCAAATAGACTTCTATGATTATGAGGTTGAATCTAAATACTTTAAATAAATCGCGTAAAATAAAACCTAATATGATTATTTTAATAAAATCTAATAAACATTTTAATCTCATCTCCATTGAACTACTCCTTTTTTATTTGTTTTCTATTTTGTATAAACTTAATATGTTTTATTTATTTAAATAACTCATGCGTTATTCATGCATTTTGAAATTTAAAATTTGAAGTATAAATTATTTTTTTATTATTATTTTGATTTCAAATTAAAGAATTTTAACTCCTTTATTATTAATTAAAATTGTCAATGGCTAATAAAAGTAATAAACTTAATATACAAGAAAAATTTGATATATTAAAAATTATAAATAATTATATAAGCGTAATAAATTTTAACATTGTTTAAAAATCCCTCTAGAAAGAGAAGATGTATTAGACAATATTTATTAATTTTTTTGACATATTGGCATCTTAAATAGATATTAAGATTGAAAAATGTTTTTCAAAATTTTTTTTTATTTTTCGGATGTGACAATTAAATGAAAGCAATCAACATTTGCACAGGAGATGCTCCAAAGTGTCCACTCTCTACAAGGTCCACTGGGGCTTGCCCAACCTGACCCACCACCTAGCTGGGCCCCACGTGTGACAGACTCAAGTTTACCAAAAAAACCAAAAACAGAGATTAATACTTTTATCTCGAAAAATAAATTCTGAAATTAAATATAAAAAACGACCAAAACAGAAATAATAAGAAGGATAATTATTCTTAAAAATAAATAAAAAAAAATTTTACAGAGGAAAGAAAGCTGGAGAGAGAGAAAGAGGGAGAGAGAGCTGGAGAGAAAGGAAAAGATGAACAAACGTTGTTGATCTAGTGGACTTGAATTACCTCCACCACCAACACCGCCATCATCGCCGCCACCTCCTCTTCCTCTTTCCGCCCAAAAAACCTCCCACATATGTATATTATATGTAATTCCACTCTTGTATATACATATTGATTGATTTATAATTTGGTGGCATTCTAAAAGAAGCAAAAATGTCTTTGAACATGAGAACCCTAACCCAAGCAATTGCCAAAACGGCAGCAGTGATCGAGAAGACCGTACAGACCACCGTACAGGAAGTAACAGGTCCTAAACCGTTGCAGGACTATCAACTGCTTGACCAGATCGGCTCCGCTGGGCCTGGACTCGCTTGGAAATTATACTCCGGTAAGGCTGTTCGTGAGTCCACGCATGCACACCAGTATCCCACTGTTTGTGTTTGGGTGCTGGACAAGAAAGAATTATCGGAGGCGCGTGTCCGCGCGGGACTGTCCAAGGTGGCGGAGGACGCGTTTTTGGATGTGATTAGGGCTGATGCAGCGAAGCTGGTGAGGCTGAGGCATCCTGGAGTGGTCCACGTGGTCCAGGCGATGGATGAGAATAAGAATGCTATTGCAATGGTAACGGAACCGCTTTTTGCATCGGTGGCCAATGCGCTTGGGAATGTGGAGAATATAGCTAAGGTGCCAAAAGAGCTGAAGGGAATGGTAAGTTCAAGTCAATGGCTTGCTTGGATTTTGGGGTGCGGCTACTTGAATTTGAATATTTTAAGTTTTATTTAGTTAATACTACTTGATTTTTAAATTTCCCTTTTGATATTGGAGACCAAGCTGAATTCGATCTCTGTAAATGTGACTTCAGTTGTTCTAATTTTTATGTGCTGCTTATTGCATATATTTCTTTGGTGTGAATGACCAGATATCTTTCTCTGGGCACCCAGTGAATCACTATTTTGAATTGTTTCATTTTATTAGTTCTCCCATGAATTTCAGATATTGTTTTGGGATTTATATATGGAAAGCCTACATGAGACTTTGGATTTCTTCTATTTTTATTTTCAAACTTTTAATAATAGATCAATTTCTTATATTTTCTCATCTAGAGTTATAGTTTGACGTGATATATTGTTGCTTCATTTTCAAATACTTCAGTACTTAATATTAATATTAGACAGTTCAGTAAGCTGTAAACCACGTCCCATTCCTCCTTGTCTGCTTCTAAGTTCTTTGTGTATCGCATGGGAATGAGATTTCTAATCTAGCAGTGAATTCTGTGCTATATTAGTTTTGTTTTTATGCATTTTTTTTCCAAAGATATAAGTGGGATAAACAATCTGATTCTTGGTGCAGCAGTATAAAGTTTGTTGACATTTGAAAATTCTGAGGATCCTGCCATTATGTTTCTTTGTAGATCACATAGTAGAAACTTTGATAAAGATACATTTCACATACTGAAAATGATATGTTATGAGTAGAAAAGAGTCAATGGTGTTTGTAGTGATCTTACTGCCTTTACTTTGTGGCCTTTGACATTTTCCTTGCGTGGAGACCATTGTCATTGTGGATTCTAGATGTTTGGCATAGCTAAGCAATTTGAGAGATGATGGAAAAAGTTTTGGAGGACGCTTTTACATGTGGTGTTTTGGATTATTTGGAGAAAAAAAAAAAAGAAATTTTCATTGTGTAAAGACTACTATGTATAAATTGAGAGAACTTACTGTATAGTTTCAATGCTATGATTTTGTTGATGAAATAAAATACAAGTTAAGATATTCATGGGTCTTTCTTTTGCATATTTCTTGTATACAGGTGGCAATGCCCCTGTTTATGGAACTAATTCAAATAAAAAAAAAAAGAAATTTTCATTGTGTAAAGACTACTATGTATAAATTGAGAGAACTTACTGTATAGTTTCAATGCTATGATTTTGTTGATGAAATAAAATACAAGTTAAGATATTCATGGGTCTTTCTTTTGCATATTTCTTGTATACAGGTGGCAATGCCCCTGTTTATGGAACTAATTCAAATGATTTCGTCATTTATAAAAGAATCCTGATTAGCAGTTTAATTTGTTATAATCTGTTGAGGAAATCATATAACTTGATGAGCAGATAACTGTGATTCTTTGTTTGCTACATGCTGCAGTCTACTTGGTGCTGCCATAATGTGTATCCTATTGCTAGTTAATTAGAAAGGGAGTTTTGTGATTGAAGAATTTATGAAGATTGAAACTATTGCTATTATTCTGAGAATGGACTTTCAACCTCATTTTTCCCGTTTAGAATTTGATCTATGTTCCTCGTTGAACTGACACATATTACTATTTGAGCGTGGAAGAAATTTTATTGTTGTGTTTTCTCATAACAGTTGTTTTTTCAAGCTAGTCGGTCAGCATATATGGGTTCATCTTCTCATTTCCAACTGGCTTAGAGCAATAGTTGCATGAATGTTTGAGGTCTTTAGATCCTTATTCACTACTTCCCTCTAAGTCATTTCATGCCTGCCCTTTCCTTTCTCAATTTCTATGACATGGTCTGCATGTGTTGAGCCTTCTATATTAGTGCATTTGTCGGTCTATACATAAGATGTTTAAATCATCTGAGTGTCCCTTTCTCAAATTTTTCTTAATAACTGCCGCTTCCATTCTCCCCTTATATACTTTATCTGTCCCAAGATGATATAGTCCACATTACCAATTTGGGACTTTCCAAATTAATTATCCACTTTCCAGTTTTAGTTTAAAGTCAACCAGTCAAAAGGTTATTTTGTCAATAATACCCTCCAAATAACTCGTATCAATTTTTGTGCCTCTTAAGTGAAAATTGATAAACTAACAAAAATACTCCATTCGAAAGTCTTTTCCTAATCTCCCTGCCAAAGTCAAATTAGACTATTATTATGGGACGAAGAGAGTATGTATTTGTTCTTTATTGTATCAATTCTTGTAGGTTCATGCATCCATTAAACATTCTTGTTTCTGCTATGTACATGCGTTGTTTCTTCATTCCAACACTTGCTGCCATACTGATGGTAGCTATGCAAATTGTTGTCCAATAAAATTTTCTCTTCAACTTAGCTAGCATCATGAAACTGCAGAAAACTCTTGTCCCTTTTTGTTGAGGTGGCGATATTGGAAGCAACACGAACCTAATAGGACACTAACATTATCATGTTGTGTTGCATTACATTACCCATTTAGTTACTGGGTTGTCTTCATGTTTATGACAACAAGTTTGTTATGTTATGTTTGTATTCACTCAAATTGTTTCATACTTACATCCTTACACAACAAAAGCACAACATAAATCCTCAAATTGCCACCCGTACACTTTATCAGTTTATCGATCATGTTTTTGATCCTATAGGTAACATCATTGTCATATCCCCTCGTCTCTTGTATCATAGTTGCTGATAACTTTTTCTTTCTAGGAAACATTAAACTAGCTATTTTTTTTATACGCAGTCATCTTTATAATCTAAATGATAGAATTGTCATATTGCTGTAAACTCCAAGATAAAATAGCATTTTATCATGCAATAATTATTCCTTTGTTGGATAATCATTCTCCATGATGCCTTCTTTCTTCATTGTCCCATGGCATCATATTTTAGCATTAATCAGCAAAAGTACATCTTTTGCATTGGGACTGTGCTCGAGAGTTGCCTTTTCATTGGCTATATGGCCAGTGACTGTTCAATAACAAGTTCATTCTCCATGCTTGCTTTCTTTGTTGTGGCATGAATATTTTCAACCGGTTCATCTTTGAGCACCCTGTAGCATGTCCAATAAGTTCTTGGCACTCTGTCTAAATCTCTGTACAAGGTTTCAAATAGCATAGTCGTTCTGACAATCATTGACTGTTGTGACTGTGTTTCTAGTCTCTTTTGGACAATCAAGGCCTAGGATTGCAGGGTTATCTCTATATTGTATAGGAATTCAGATGTTCCTGTTATTTTTTACCCAAGTATGGTATTCTGGTTACATAGTAAACTATCTTTATTATCTTTTGGAATTAAATTATTGCCTTTGACACTAAACTACAATCTCAATGTTCATAGACCAGTGGCATTTATTTTATCAAAGATTTCGTAACTCTTCTTCTATGGAAAGTGCTTAAATACTATCTATTTGTACAGGAAATGGGTTTATTGGAAGTGAAACATGGTTTACTCCAAATTGCAGAAACCTTGGATTTTCTCCATAACAATGCACGTCTCATTCACCGGTCTATATCACCTGAGGTATGTGCTCCACTTTTTTTTTGTTCCCCCCCCCCCCCTGTGCTCACTTTTTTTGTTCCCCCCCCCCCCCCCCCCCCCAAAAAAAAAAAAAAAAAAACATCTTTAAAAAAAAAAAAAAAACACATCTTTAGGATACAATATGTGGAAGCATAGTTATTCATAGTTGCACTAAGGCTAAAGTGGTGCACATATGTGAAAGGTGCAAGGTGTTTTAAAATTGGAAATGGCGAAATATGCTATGTGATTGATGGAGAAAACATGGAAACAAAGCTAGATCACACATATATCTTAAACATCTTTGATTCCACAAGAAAAAGATTATTCTAGAGTTTCATGAGAATAAAAAGAGCAGAATTAATTGACCATGTTCCTCAATAAAGTGCATTGAAATCCTATTTATGAGAGTAGAAATCCTAGTTTTTTACTTGGACAACATCACTAGAATAAGAATCCTGAAGTCAATATAGATGCATAAACAGAAGAAAACTGAAACCTAAACTACTAAAAATTAAATACAAGAACTTAATTTCAAAATACAATTACAAGAACTTAAATAGAATTAGTAATGATAATTAGAAAGAAATAATTTAGCCATTGCATCAGAAGTGGAAAAAGATGCAAGTTTTCTCAATATTTAATAACGTTTCACAAAATATCACCATATCAAAAGCTACAACTTCGCATATAAATTAAACTATTTGCGCACCTTCAAAAGTTAAACTGTTTGCTTGAAAGGCTACATGGTAAAGAATTTTGATGATTGTACTTTTCAGGACAAACAGAATATCTTATCTTTGTTTCCTTTTTTCCCTTTTTTGAAATTAGATTATTCCTACAATTCCTTTATCTTTCTACATTATATATGTTGTTATTTTAAATGTGGATTGAATTTTATGAACATCATGTATGGTAATGTTATACATTTACATAACTAATCCTAATCTTATAATTTGCAGAATGTCCTAATCACTTCAAGTGGGGCATGGAAGCTTGGTGGATTTGGTTTTGCAATCTCAACAGATCAGGCTTCAGGCGACTTGCCTAGTTCTCAAGCCTTTCATTATGCTGTGAGTTGCATTTTGCATTAGTTTATGTTCTTGATTTTGTTGCCTCACCCTTGTCCTTAATCTCCAATTCTACACTTTCCCAATACATTTTTGCTTTATTCTGTCAGGCTCTTTTTTTTTTGTGGGAATTTTTTTTTCTCATTTTTTTCTGGTGTTTTGGAAAATCAGCTATCTAACTCAAAATTTTGTCCCCAGCCAAGGGAAAAATAAGTCATTTGTAAGAAAACACCCTTTATTTTCAAACTAGGGAGTCATTTTCTAAATTTTAACAAATACATAAGAAAGGAAAGAACCTACTGTGGATATGAAAAGTGACCCCATGACCATTGCCAAGGGCCAATGATATCTGCTCACCATTGGGCATTGGCTATCACCAATTGCCAGAGATCACTAGAATTTGCCTTTTTCTTTTTGTGCTATTTAATCCTATATTCAACTATAAAGAAAAATGAGGAGTCTTTGTAACTCCAATCTGCCTGTGGTCTTCTTTATTGAAGAAAAGTCAAATTTTCCATTTTACACCAAATGCTTTAAACTTTCCAATTAATTAATTTTCATGTTACAACCAAATCCCAAATTTAAAATTTCTTGTAGAAAATAATTTCCATAGAAAGTTATTTCATGAAGACTTATACCCTTAAAGGTTGCATTTGCATATGGTCAGGCCATCTTAAATTGACCTTCTCTCAGCTTTAATTTGTATACATTTTAGGTCTGTAAAAAATCTCTTGCCTTCTTCCTTCTAATAACATATTGGAATCTCTCAAGTAATTTTCTGGGTTTCCCCGAGTGTTGTGAAGCTGTGTCCTAGTCTTTCATGAACTTAGGTGCCTGTTGTGTTTGAATGTGATCTATTATTTTCTTACTTTTCATGAAGTCTCATCCATTAGCTTTCATTGCATAGATGGTTTAAGTATTTATTTTCTTAACTGCATTTACCTATTATTTCTGGCTTCTGTTTTGATCATTCAGGAATATGATGTCGAGGATTCTATGCTGCCTCTTCAGCCATCTCTGAATTATACTGCACCTGAACTTGTTCGTAGCAAATCACCTTCAGTTGGATGCTCTTCTGATATTTTCAGTTTTGGATGTCTTGCCTACCACTTGATTGCTCACAAGCCTTTGTTTGACTGCCACAACAATGTCAAAATGGTATCTTTTAATTCTTAGCCTTTTCTCCCACATGAAGATTAATTATAAATTTTATATGTGCTTATTTGAAAAAAGATTTTCTTTATGGATAATTATATATTTAGTGTTTGAACTTTGTCTGGTTTATTATTTCGGTATTTCAACCTTATGCTGTTATCAATGAAGTGTCAGAATTGATAAATTTTATAATTAAGTGCATTTGGTCAGAATTTCTTGTTGGAAGATCAAAATGAATTATTTTATCCCATTTTTTTAACTTCATTTATTTCTTTACGTTGTCACAATTCTCTATTATTCTCTTTTGATTCTATCGATAATGCTTGTTTTCCTCTGTGCAGTACATGAATACCTTGACTTACTTATCCAGTGAAACTTTTTCGTCTATTCCTCAAGAATTAATTCCTGACCTACAGAGGATGATCTCTGCAAATGAATCTTTCAGGCCAACAGCAATGGATTTTACAGGTAAAACATGATCCTCTTTACCATTTCATGTGAGCGAACAGATCTATCTATTTATTTTTCATTCCATCTATATGCATATTCCTTTTGGTCACTTTGTTTTCAAATAATGATGTCTGGCTTCTGGTGAGGTTTAATGTAAAATAGAAAAGTTCTGTTTACAAAATGAGAATTGGAAAAGGATCTCATACATTATTTGAATTAGGCCCATATAAAAAGTAATAACATGCATGTTGGTTACTCTGAACATGATAACAAAAATGAGATTCAAACTTCCATTCTATTATTTGAGTTTGGTAAACCAAAGGGAAAGTATTGAGAGTGACAAATCAGGGAATGGATAAATCAGAAACCTGTAAAGAAACCTTTATTGCCTTAGTTTTCATCACCACATGCAGGTTAACTATTGGAAGTCAAGAATCATAATGATAAACACCTATTGCCATTCCCGGTTTGTTATTGTTGGTAAACAAATTGTCTTAGGTGTTAACTTTTCTGAACCAATATGTCTACTTATTAGTATTTTAAATAGAATAGTTTTCTAGCACTTGAATATGTCATCGTATGTTAAATTATGATAATTTATGCTTAAACAAATCAACACGATTGAAACTTAATAGATTATATATTTGTGTGTCTGCAAGTAGATCCAGCCTTAATATGGGTATAAATTATGTAGTTGGCAGTCTTCCTTGAATTTCTGGTGTTGCTTTGTGTCCTAGTGTCCATGAGTTTCCATATATTTATTTTTTATTTTTCAAATTGAATGTTTACATGATATCCTTTCTGAGTTAACTCATTTTGGATTTCCTTAAAAAAAATGAAAAATAAAAATCAATATAGCATGCTATATGTAGTATTTTATCAGTAAGGTTATTTGTAGGTTAGCAATTAAATTTTCTATGGTATATTAGTTATGGTGTGTGTGTGTGTGTTTTTTTTTTTTTTCTCTCTTTTTTTTTGAGGAATAGTTAGTGTTATTTTTAATTGTAGGGGAATAAAAACATCTAGACTAGTATACATTTTACCATATTGTAAAGTATAATATACAATAAATAAGTAGGTTTGCATTAAAAATAAAATTTAAAACATATGGAAACAATTGACAGCACATCTAGAATACTCAGTGTAGCAAGTTAAATTCATGCAAAATTGTCATTCATCAGGCTAGGTAAATGAATAAGAAAAGTTAAAAAAAAAAAAAAAAAAAATAAAATTTAAAAACATATGGAACAATTGACAGCCACATCTAGAATACTCAGCTGTAGCAAGTATAAATTCATGGCAAAATGGTCATTCATCTAAGGCTAGGTAAATGAATAAGAAAAAGTTTAAAAAAAAAAAAAAAAAGAAAATCTTGATGCAAGAAATAAGATAGATGCATGGCAGAGGAAGAGTCAAATTCATGGAAATTTCATTATTCAGTAATTAAGGACAAAAACATGCTCCATGAATATTAAACATAACTAAAAACAATTATCAATGTTACCGTTACAAAGATTTAAAAAAAAAAAAAAAAAAAAAAAAAAAAAAAAAAGCGCAGTCAAAGTTGTACCTGGCATCAATATACTAACTTAATATAGACAATGATGAAAAGTTAGTTAATTGAATACCATTATTGGGGTTGACTGATCTGATTAAGTTCAAATTAAAAAAGGATTCCAAGACCATGTGGTTGATTGTTCTAGTTCAATCCCAAAAATAAAAAAAAAATAAAAAAAAAAATAAAAAAAGGATTTTACACAATGGAATATCCATTGAGAACACCACCTCACTTGAGCGAAGCTCCAGGGGCAGGGTCTCTCGTTTGATACCTACTATTCCTTAAGATACCATTCTGAGACATTAATCCTTTCAAGTTGAATAAACTTGAACCCTGCTAAAAACCAAACATGAACCGCCCCACCATTGTAAACTTAAAAACAAGCTGAGGCACTTAAAAGTAGAATATAATACATTCATATTTAGTTAACATACATAGTTAGAAAAAAAAGTGTAAAGCATGAATAGGTTAGTTTTTGTAGGTAATGAGATGAAAGTTGGATTAGTTTGTTATATAATATATATAAAAAGCATTAGTCCTTTGTTTTTTTTTTTTTTTGGGAAATAAGAAAGTATTAACCATGTACTTTTTTGGTATATTCAAATGTTCTCCCTTGCGATTTAGATAGATTAGAGATTCTAGATAAGAATGGGTACTCTCCGGTGACAAACTTGCTGTATTTCAATGGAATTTTGATAGAAAATTTGCTTGTCAATTCCCACAAGCTGATTGGGTTTAAATAGACTGAAGTATCCACAAATTTGGGAATAAATTACTAAATTACAGCCCTAATTGATGCCCATTGTCTTCTAATTATGGCTGGGCAATTTACAGGCCTTAATTTGGCTCTCTTAATGATGCCTAATAATCTCTCCTTAATTTGATGCCCATGTCTCCTAATATGGTTGACATTTTTTACAGGCTATTAGGCTTCCCTATTGATTGCCTAATTTATCTCCTAATTGATGGTTATTTACAGCTATCTTACACAGTATAGTCAATTAAATTACAATAGTAAACTAAAAATTATCTAACATCCGGTTACATTTACAGCCTGAATTAGCTCCCTAATTGATGCCTAATTTATCTCCTAATTGATGGTTATTTACAGCTATCTTACAACAGTATAGTCAATTAATTACAATAGTAAACTAACATTATACTAACATCCGGTTGGGTGAATTCAATAATAGACGTATTTTGGCATTCCAGCCGTCCTCCTTTCAGGGCATAGAATCCAGAACTTCTTGGTCCTGAATATCTGAATAGGACAAACTGCCCCATGGAGTTTGTCATATGATGTGAACTACTCTTTGGTTGCTCAAGTACCTGTATCCTGTTGTACATTTAGTTAATAGCATTGATGAAGCCTGGGGCCACCAGTTCCTCTGTTTTTGTATTATATAATGCTATGTTCTGATGTTTTATATTTCTTGCATCAGAAATTTAAATAACTTCTTGCATCAGAGTTGGTAACGTTGGGGAAGGGATGTAACTTTATTTACATAATTGATGCCTGTGACATGACAGATACAGTAGGCTTCTTTGCTTAAGTTATTTCTTCTTGATATTTGTATTGTTGTCATAATCCATATGTTCTATTTGCAGGATCTCCATTTTTCCGGAATGACACTAGGTTGCGTGCTCTTCGATTCCTGGACCACATGCTTGTATGCTATTGAATTATATCTTGACTGGCTCATACTTTGGGATTAATCACATGATATCTCCGCTTTAGGAGAAATTTCACAGGAAAAAGAAAAAGAATGAAAATGAAGTAAAAGGTGTGGTGGAAATGATATTTAATGTCATATTTGTTTTCTTGCAGGAACGAGATAACATGCAGAAGTCTGAGTTCTTAAAAGCATTATCAGATATGTGGAAAGATTTTGACTCTCGTGTGTTGCGGTATAAGGTTTGTTTGTTTTTTTTTTTTTTTCCTTTTTTTTTTTCTGTTGATCTGATGTATCATTCAATGTTTTCTCGTCCGTTTGCATACCTTTACATTATAAAGATCTTTGACTGATAGACATTAGCAGACCCAGCTTGATTTTTGTTAACAAAAGAAAACTTTTGTGAAGGATAACTAACACTATCTTTGGGAATAAATTCATTGAGGAAAAAGGATAGAAGAAAAGAAAAATGAGAGGTATATTTCCACTTCTTTAGATTGGAAGAAAAATGAAAGGAATGAAAATGTGTGGAAAATTATTTTATAATAGTAGACTTACACTTTACCCTTTGCTTTTAAACTTTAAATGATTGTTTTGGTAGTAGTTTCATAATTTTAGATGTTTTCTATCTATTTTCTTCCCAAAAATTTGGAGTATTTTGTTATGGTCTCCATTTAGATTTTTTCTTTATTTTGTTATATCCATTTTCATTTCCCCTTGTCTTCTCTCCTCTCAGAAAAGGTAAAAATGAAATCCTTTAAAATTTTCCTCTCATTTCCCCCATTTCCCAAACATAGCCTTAGCATTTTTAGTCATCACCATTTACCATTCATGTTTAGCATTACCCTTGTGTGCTTAAAATACATAGACATAGATGCACATTTGGTTGTGCAATGCTAAAGTCAGGCAACAGATTGGCTTTCCCATTGACAGTTCTTATTGCTGTTCTTTCATTTAGCATAACGGGAAACATTTATTCATCTTTTTCCTTTTCTCATCGTAATTGAAAAAACAATGTCAGTAAACAAGATTTTCTTGCAGGTGCTTCCACCATTGTGTGCAGAACTTAGGAATATGGTTATGCAACCACTGATTCTTCCCATGGTTCTCACTATAGCAGAGTCTCAGGTACTGTTTCTCTCATCATTGTTATTCAGGTCAATGGTTGGCTTATTGATGTTGTTTTGTTCTTCCTATTTATTTCCTACAGAATTTAGTTTTTCTCGGTGGCTGACTAGTTGTATTAAATGGTGTGGTTAAACATTTCATACCAGCATTGATATAAGTGTCATATTTGTTGAATGGGCTTAATGATGTCTCTCAAGCAGATATCTCATTTCTTCCATTGTTTTATTTCCCATATCTTTTTGTAGGTTACTGCAGCTACTTCTTGACTTATATCTCAATCTAGTTATTGGCAATGGGTCATAACAACTTTCTAACTATCATTTGTCATGGCAAATATATACAGCTTGGATATTGCTGTATCTACTCTTTTGACAGTCTTACCTGTGAGATCTGTGATAGTAATCCATATATGCTTAATAATAACATGGACATACTAAATGTTCCTCTACCAATCTCTTCATTTCTTCAATTTAGTTTTACTATAATTTCCTGTTTGTTCTATAAATTTATATATTTACTTCTGTTGTCATGAAAGTGGTTGTTGCTTAGTTGGAAAAACAATATGAAGTTTCCAATTACATTGTAGGATAAAAATGATTTCGAGCTGTCGACACTTCCAGCTCTCATTCCTGCCTTGAGTACTGCTTCAGGTGAGACACTGCTGCTGCTTGTGAGGCGTGCTGAACTCATTATCAGCAAGGTAATTAAAATGGCTATGCTGGTCTTTTTTCTTTTCTATTTGTTGATGGGGATTAGGCTTCGTTAGTAATGTTATATCTTAATAGGCCTTGTAATTAATAAAATCGTTAAGTCATTTGTTTTTTCATTTTGTACCCTCAATCTTGTAAAATGCAAGGGGATTTGGGATACTAATTGTGGATGAAGAACAATAGATAGCATGGGAAATGTTTTCTCCCAATATCAAAATGAAAAATTAATAACAATAATAATAATGGAAAGCTTCTTCTGTCAACAAATTTCAAGTAATTAATTTTTGAATTTCCTGTTTCTTGGCTGTATTTGTATATTCTTCACCAAATCTCTTAAACTAAGGAGTGATAATGGTAAAAAATTTGGGGCTTACACTCATAATTGTAGGCATGACTCTTAAAAGCAGCTTGATGCAAAAATGCTGGTTCAAAATTCTTTTTCCTAGGACCATTTTTATATTTTGGAGGACATCAATACCTTTTTACTTATTCTTCTGAAGCCACAAGGTTTTAGGGGGCTCTATAGGGTATTTTGCCGAATTGTTTTAGTGCTTTCAAATAATGAAAATGTGCTCCATTAGTTTCCTCTCCATAGGGGAAGAACTTGCTGTAAAAAAAATATTTTGAGATGGATATACTGATTTATTTATTTATTTTCTGCTATTCCATATGTGGCATCTTGGCTAAATCACCTGTTGGGGTTGCATATTTGTTTTTGTACCATATTCCTCATGCCTTCTGCCCCTTTCTACCTTGATAGCATTTATAAAAATGTTTGCCACAATGAATTATACTCCACGCTAATGTTTTTTGCTTTGTAATTATTGTAGACTAGCCAGGAGAACTTAGTGTCCCATGTCCTTCCTATGCTTGTTCAAGCTTATGATGATACTGATCCACGCATTCAAGAAGAAGTCCTGAAAAAATCTACCTCTCTTGCTAAGCAACTTGATGTTCAGGTGACTGCCATTGGTATGGATTTATGAGCATGTGTATACATAGTCAATATCGTACATTCATGCGTTTATATCTGTATATTCGTTTTCATGAAGCATTCTGAACTGGGATTTTCTTTTTATATATAAATAATTGATTAAACGTATGCTGAAGAGAGGTAGACTACTTAGCATTTTACCCTTGCATTTGCATGGTTATTTTTATAATATTCCTTTTCCAGCTGCTTTGACATGCATTGTTGTGTGTTTGGCCACTGACCACTAGAAAAAAAAAAAAAAAAGAAAAAGAAAAACCAGCCCTATCAGATACATCTGTACTGTCTTCTTGTTGATGGGATATGATATGCCAAAGTTTTTTTTCTTTATATCTTATTATTCCTTTTCTGTTATTTTTTCTTGCAGCTGGTAAAACAATCAATTTTGCCTCGTGTTCATGGCTTAGCACTTAAAACAACTGTTGCTGCGGTATACATGCTTATTTATTTGCCATTTTCATATTCAATTTTTACTGGTTTGTCCTTTCCATGAATGTAATTGATTTTATTGAAGTTGGAAACTGTCCTTATGAATACCTATGCGCAAAAGGTTTTCTGGTGAACTACTTTTCGGATGAGAGATTTACAATGCACCCATGCTTTTCCAGTGAAGTGCAGAGGTTAATTAGATGTTGAATGATTTGTTTCTATTGTCAGGTAAGAGTCAATGCTCTGTTATGCCTTGGGGATCTTGTTCACACGCTTGATAAACATTCTGTTCTGGAAATCTTGCAAACAATTCAACGTTGTACAGCCGTTGACCGCTCTGCTCCCACCCTTATGTGTACCCTCGGTGTTGCAAATTCAATTCTCAAGCAGGTAAACAGATTCTACTGACAGATGCAGTGTTACTGCTTCATTGTTTTCCTTCAGTTTTGGTATATAGAAGAATCTCATGGTCATTATGCTTTGCTTTATTCTTGTCAGTATGGAGTTGCATTTGTGGCAGAACATGTCCTTCCATTACTTACACCTCTTCTTACTGCCCAACAATTAAACGTTCAACAGTTTGCCAAATATATGCTGTTTGTTAAGGATATCCTCAGGTAGTACAATATTTTTGTCGCATCATACATCTCCACAGCTTCCTTTTCTATCCATCTGTATCCACATGCTAGTTAAATATATGCTCTTTGATCTACTCTATGTTTGGCAAGAAAGAAAATGTTTACTTCACTCCCAAGAAATTCAATTTGATGGAAAACGACATATCAACCAAACTGTATCATTTATAAATGAATTTGATACTTCAAATTCATTTATACTAGATAAGGAGTTAATGCTAGTGAGACTTTTAATTCCTTGTGTGTTTGGTGCATGGATATACTAGTGAGTTGCCTCTCTGTCTTTTTATTTTCTTAAAATTTTTGGGCTTTGTTATAGGATGATAGAAGAAAAAAGAGGAGTAATAGTAACTGATTCTGGAGTTCCAGAGGTAAAGCCAATACCCTTTTCTAATGGGGTTCAGTCTCAAGCCTCGAGCAAAACAACCGGAAGTGTTGCTCCTGCACCAAAGAGCAGCCATTCATGGGATGAGGATTGGGGTCCGGTACCAAAAGAACCTACAACTACAAAGCAGCCTTCAACAGGCAAGCCACTGTCTACTCCTGTTCTGAACAGTCAGCCAATTCAAGTGCCTTCTTTAAGATCAGAATCTTCCTTGATTTCTGCTGTATCTGGTCAACAAACAGCTGAATCATGCCCTCCGGTTGACATAGAATGGCCTCCTAGAGCATCATCTTCAGGTGTTACACCTCAGTCAAGCAATATTGAGAAGCAAATGAACACAGGAACATCATCCTCTTCAAGTTTTGATGATCTAGATCCTTTTGCTGATTGGCCTCCACGACCAAGCAATGCTTCTAGTCCATCAGGAATTTCCAAAAATGGCTCTATGGGATCATTGACAAACAATTACACTACAAGTTTGAACATGAACACTCTCAACAATATGAACTTGCAGAGCAATGGAAATAACAGCTGGGCCTTCAATGGCCAAAATTCATTTGAGCCAATGAAACCAAACCAAGGGACTTCTACAATGAATACAGGTAGTTTGAGCAGTGGCGTTAATCCTCAGAATTCTCTTGGTTTCTTAAAGCAGAATCAAGGTATGTCTACTTTGGGTTCTTATAACGAAAAGAAATCAACAGATCTTGAATCAATATTTAGTTCCAGCAAAAATGACCAGCCTGCACCTAAATTGGCTCCACCTCCATCAACTGCTGTTGGTAGAGGAAGAGGAAGAGGAAGAGGTGCTACTTCTACTTCGAGGTCTAGCAATGCCAAACCAGCGGCAGGGCAGCCGCCTCTTTTGGACTTGCTATAATGAGTTGGTTTCCCTTTTTTCATATGAAAAAGGAGATATTGAGGATGTGAACTTTCAAAGTAGAAATTCCATGCAGTGAAGCATTTTGGTTATGTTAATGGATGGAAATATACAAATTCATCAGGGGTACAGAACAGCAGCAACCATAGGGTCTGGGATGATGCGTCAAGTGATTGATTGTTGTGAATTGTTTTTAGCCTATTCTGACTGATCCTCAACCAGGTTTTTTCTTTTCTTTCTATTTTATTTGTATTCTATATCCTTTTTATATATATATATATAAAAAGGCAAATCTAATGCTGTTCAGTTGGATGGGTTAAACATTTTGATGTTCGGAAATAGTTTTGGCTGGAAAGTTTATTATTCAACACCAAGTCCAGTTCCAGCAACTGGATTAAAAGTAATAAAAAGAAAATCAAGTGTTTGGTCTGTATTTAGATAATAGGGGTAAGCCTTCTAACTCCCCGCTCTATCTTGTATGATAACAATAACAGCGATCAAATTTTTTTTGTGGGTTTACTGTGTGATCAAATTATCTGTGGGGTTTTAGGGAATTTATATATCAAGTTGTTTGGTCTGTATTTAGATAATAGGCGGTTAAAGCCTTCTAACTCCCCGCCTCTATCTGTATGATAACAATAACTCAGCGAATCAAAATTTTTGTATGTGCCTGGTGTTACTGGTATCGTGATGCGTGGTGTGAGGGTTCAGTGTGATCTCCTCTCATCATCTCCTAACTAAACATATATATATATTACTAGCGATATATTATATGATATAGCTAAGGCGTTATATAAGTTTGCCTAACATGGCTTCGATTACCATCCTTAGATGCAACTATGCTTTCAGCCTTGTGACGACAAGAATTCAGACGAGCTCGTTACCATCATTTTCTCTATTATGCTAAGCAAAATTCTTTTAGCCTCCTTGTTCGTTTTCGCTGTTGTTACTTATCGATCGATGGATAAAGCACTCAGAATCATGGTCTCTTTATAATAATGGCTAATATATATAGTTTGTAAATGTCGATCCATCCTTTAGATGAACTATGCTTTAGCTTTTGACGACAAGATTCAACGAGTCTTACATTTTTTCTATTTGCAAGAAAATTTTTAGCCCTTGTTTGTTTTTCGTGTTGTTACTATCTAGATGGGAAGCACTCAATGGTTCTTAAAAGGTAGGAGAAAAGTATTTTTAGGCACAAAATTGATTTACTCTTAGATTAGATTCAGCTCTTCAACACTATATTAATGAGTTGTTCCTAGAGATAGACAAGCTAATTTCTATGCTTAAGATAGACCTAACTTTGGTTAAAGATTGTTGCTTGGAAGCCACTGCTGACCTTTAACAAAGTGAAGTCTGCCTCAAGTTAAAAGTCGTGCTTGTATGCCTTCCAAGGACAAACAGCAAGGATCTGAGCTGTGTTTGTTCCCGAGAGACTTCTTTGGTTGCATGGTAAGAGACCAATGAGGGTTTCCAATCAAGAACCAGTCTCCCTAATTGGTTAAAAATGTAAACAACTTTTATATTCTTGCTTCTGTTTTCAAGCCTTGCTTAATGCTCGTTGAGTTAGAACATATAGCTTGGCGAAGGAAAATAAGATTATTAATTCGTTTATATCACAAGATTTTTTGAAGAATCCCATTAATCCTAGTTAACTTCCTACTCACTAATTCATTTCCTTTTCTTCTTCCTTGAGCTTACTTCTCAAGTGTTTAAGAGCCTTCATTTTAATAGATTTCTGGCTAGTTGATGGATTTTGAGATAAAACAATTTCATATCCATCATAATAAAAGATAGAAATGACAAATTTAAAATATTTAAATTTAAAATAAAAGTAAACAACATGCATTAATTTCTATTACAAATTCTTCTTTATAATTTATTATTATATGACCTTTATTATAGGCAACTTGATATTATAACCACACTGATATTGTACTAGTCGTCTTCATCCTCACATGCTAGAAAACCTTGGATACGGAGGCAAATTCCAAGAACTCGGGATTTTGCTGTAATATCTCCATCCTTTTGTCATCTAAAGTAATCCAAGCTTCAATCCCTTTTCCATCTTTTGCATCAACAAATATTGTCATATTTCTAGATAAATCTCCAACTTTACCCATAACACCAACCCAATAAGGCTCTCCCCATCCAAAATCTGGCCTCGTAAGACTCATACGACTCCAGCTCGTAAATACAAAAACTTCTGGATTTTCCATTGAGAGTAACTCTATCGTTTCAAAATACTGAGACAGAGTTTCAAACCCATTATCACCTTGAAAACTCTCTGTATAATCGGGTTTGAAAAGTGCAATAGCTTCACTCAACATTTTAACTAGTTCATGCAATTCTTGATTTGTATCATTTGGGTCTGCAATTGCCACTGCACCCCAAATCAAATTTCCACTAGACCCATCTTTCATTTCTGGCGTTGTCCTTTTCCTTAGATTTACTGATTCAATTAAAACTGATGTGTTTGAAGCACTTGATGATGAAGATTGTGCTAACATCCTTGTTGCTTCCATACAATGTTTCCAAATGAAACACGACAGTGTTTGGATACGGGTTGGTTCAGTCTGATCAACTTCATTGCCTTTTGCTTTAGCTTTAAGAGTATCTATGGCTTCAGCATTGAACACAAATCTTCTTGTAATGTAATCGCCTTTGGCAAAACATAGTGTATCCATTAGCGATATTTGGGTTCTTGGAATTGGAATTTTTGGAGGAAAAAATAGTGATGGCTCCTCAAAATCTGGCATTATAACACCGTTGGGGTCTCCTCGATGTAAAGAACTCCAACTAGCTATGAAATTTGAAGCTGTAGCTGCATCTAAGAGTTTGTGTGAGAAACAACAGCCCAAAGCTATTCCACCACAAGTAAATTTGCTTACTTGAACTGCTAGTAAAGGTATTTCTACGGCTAATTCCTTGTGGTAGGGGCTACATGGAAGGAAACTGTTTAGTGACTCAGTTTCATGGAGCTTTAGGAAATCAGACATGGAACAACTCGCTTTCGCTTCGATAAAAGGAAGTCCTTCTTGGAATCGACTGATGAAGATATTATCATCATTTGGCCTTCCAGAAAGTGGGTAGTAGAGATTTAGGGTTTCCGAAAGAGATTTTTTTAGATGGGTTAGGGTTTGATTGATATGGGATTTAGAATCATTCATGGGGAAGAAGAAAATGACTGGGAAGTAAACTGCAGGCTGAAGTTGGTCGAAAAAGGTGAGTTTATAAGGTTTTTGATGTTGAGTTGCTGATGAAGATGGCTTGATGAACTCTTTTGAAATGATTTCAACTTCCATCTCGAGCTACTAGAATTGCAAGATCCTTGCAGAAAAAATTATGATATTCTTGTCATTATATAATAGCAAGGAAGCTAAACAATAATGATAACAACAGGTAAACGGCAAGGATGTCGATCTCATATAGACTTGCCTGGCCCTGTCTATGGTATCGTTGATGCACTGGAACAATCAAAATAGAGATTTTTAAAAATTGTTTTTATTTTATTTTTTCTCAATGAATAGTAAAAAATGCTCTCATTTCAATTAAAAAAAATCAAATACATAAATTCACTTCTAAATTTTACAACTTTAATTTTCATGAACATTATTAATTACCTATTGTGCATTTAAATTTATAAATTTTAATAACATTACACATCTTTTTACATTAACAACATCTATATTTAAGGTTGTTGGCTTTTATATATTAAATACTAATTTCATTTTACGCATAATTAGCATATATAACCCTTGGAACAATAATTTTCATTTTTTTTTAACTATCTAAAGGTGTTTAATTAATTTAATTTTACAAATTGAAGTATTCAATAAAATGATTTTGCAAGTTGATGCATTTAACATATTTAATTTTATAAATTAAAGTATTTGACAAGTCAAAATAAAAGAATTGAGGCAGTCGGAAGATTAAAGTAATAAAGTTTATAGAAAATTTGTATATTACATTATAGAAAAATTTATTTTTTATTAATTTGATCTAGGTGAGAAAAATTAGAGATGTTAGACTGGTAAATAATAATAACATTTTGTAATTAAATTTTCTCGTCAATATTTTTTTTAGACTTAGATATGTAACCTTGTGGGTTACATAATAGTAATAGTTGAAGTTAATAAAAAGTCTTGTAACAATAATAATAATAATTATGGAAAAATTTAAACAACTTAATTATAAGTATAATAATATTAATAATACTCAATTCACCAATAAGAAATGACTTAGTGGTAAAACACACTTGAATTCAGCGGGTGATTTATGCATGGTTAAGAGTTTTATCCGTGGAGAAGCGTGGAGAGGTGGGCAACCATAAAACCGAAAAGAGATTTGTTCATTTCGAAAAGAGTGTGGACACTAATTTTCTCGAATCTGCGTATACGTTGTTTGTATTCGTTGTAAGTAAATATAATTTAATTTATAAATATATAATTTGTCACTAGCTTATATATATAATTGTTTATTAGTTTTTTATTATAAATTATAATATTATGAATATTTTACACTAGCTTATATAATAAATTGTTTATTTAGTTTATTATTTAATTATAATTTTTATTATAAATTATAATATTATGAATATTTTATATTAATAAATCTGTCAGCATTTACCAAAAAGAAAAAAAAAACCTTTTATGAAATAATAAAATAAAAAATTGAATAAGTAAATAACTTATTAAGGAAAGAATATATTTATAATAATAAAATAATAAAATATTATTATAATTTGATAAATAAATTTTCACTAAAATAAAATTACTCATCAACCAATTTATATTTTCTTAAAACAATTTAAATTAAATTAATTTAATTTTTAGTATATAATATAATACCAAAAGCTGTGAATATTACTAAAACATGAGAAATTAATATTAACTATTACAATAAGTAATATATTAATCATTATTTTAGAGTATCATTTTTTTTTTTACTTTTTGTTATGTCTATGAGCATATTATTAATTTTGTGAAAAAAATCTTTCAACTTGTTATATAGTTTGCTAATATAACATGTTATATCATAATTTTATATTTTATATATATTTCTTTAGTTTTTTTTTTTTGAGATATATAATTCATTAATAATAATATCAAGTATTACAATACAAATACTCAATTAGATCAGACATAAAATTTACGATCATAATTAATAGATAGTTCGTTAATCTTTTAACAAAGTAAAAAAATTATTTCTATATTCTTTTGAACAATTACACTAAAATTAAAAGAGACAAATTAGATTTTTTCATTTGGAGATGATATTTGTTTGTATATAATAGTTCATATATATACTATATATATTAATTAATAGCAACTGGTACATTAACCTGACTGGAAGATAAAAATAACTTTTCTAGATCTTAGACCTGGATATATATAATAGCAACTGGTACATTACTGACTTGAAGATAAAATAACTTTTCTAGATCTTACACACTTGGAATGCTTTTCTAAGAACACAATGTATATAATGTACCAAGATTAGTGTTGCAAATGGTAGTAGTGTTTATTAACTTGTTAAGCAATTACATGACAAGGATGTGTGCTGCATGGCAATCACATGAAATTGACATGTGTGTGTATATATATTATTAATTCGTTGGACATCTAATTACAAAAATTTTTCGTTCAAACATTAAAATAATAAAAAAAATTTAGAAATCATTAATATAATTATCCCTTTTGTAAACCATCAATATTACAAAAGATAGTCACCTCTTCAAAAATAATACAAAACAATTGTGACCAGACCTGTTATTCGTAAATTGATAATTTTAGAAAATATTGATAATCGGATCTATTATTTGATAAACCGAAAAATTATATATTTTCAGCGATTAGTTATTATTTTATAATTACGTGGAAAGTCATAATCCAACTCATTCCCTGCAACTGAAACAACAAAACAGCACAAATTTCAGGCAATACAGTCACATTTAATGCAATTTATTAAACAATGTTCGTTTTTGTTAGGTAAAGACTAAACCCTAATAATGACACACCATCCCTAATTATCTAGCATGCAAAATTCAACTCTCATCTCATTTATAGTGCAATTTACCAAGCAATAATGACACACCAACCCTTATCTATCATGCACGATCCAACCCTCATCTCTTTTATAGTCAACCATATCCCACATATAACAGTTACTTCCCCCTTTTGAGCAGCAAAAGAACCCCCTTTTGCCCTACACTTGTCTATTCCTTTTTTTTTTTTTTTCAGCAATTATCCTATTTTCTTTCACAAATTTTCACGTTCCTGCTGTCTATCGATCTTTTGCTGTTTACCTTTTTATGAGATCGAAAATGACAAGAACTGAGAGATTTCAGTGATCGACTTGAAAAAAAAAAATGACGGGAGAGTTAGTTTAATGCTATATTCGGTAATAGTTTTTAAAATAGTTTTTAACGTTTTAATTTTTGCCATTTACCCTTTTATGAGATTGGAAACAACAATAATGAGAGATTTCAGTGATTGATTAAGGCTAACAAGAGTCACTATTTTGAAAAAGAAAAAATGGACAAGAGAGATAGTTTAAGGCTATATTCAACAATAACTTTTTAGGTAGCTTTTAGCGTTTTGACAAGCTATTTTTTAACTAACTTTTACAGGTTAAGATAGCGTTTTATAAAAATTAATCCTGTAACGTTTAATTTTTCATAAAACATTTATCTTGTAGCGTTTTATAAAAAGCTACTCAAACAGCGACAGTTATTCAAATAACAAAACGTTACTAAAAAAACAGCTACCAAAACAGTTAATATTGCTGAACAAACTCTAAGTTTGATGGGTAACAACAAAACGTTACTAAAACAAACAGCTACCAAAATAGTTAATTTTGTCGAATAAGCCCTAAGTTTAGTGGGTCAACGAGGGAGTTGTATTTAATGTGGAGAAATGAGTTATATAATAAGCAATCAACATCTTCAACTTTTAGTTTGATTAAATTATAAAATTATAATTGTTAAATAATAAAAACTTTAACTTATAAAATTATATGTATGAAATATATGTATATGCAATTAATTTATAAATGTAATTTTATAAGTTGAATTTTTTTAATATAAATTTCAAATTAAATAATTTAATTGGTCAAATTAAAAATTAAAAGATGTAATGCAGACGGAAAAAAGTAACACCATAACTTTTTGTGTTGGATAGTTTAAAAATAATAAAATATAATTTAATATCCAATTTATCATAATAATTAGTTTTTCAAATTGATTATCTTACCCATAACCTATCTTTTCCTTTCCTTTTCCTTTTCCTTCAGCACAACGCTCCAACCATTATGATAACTTAGTTGTTTGTTAAATAGTATTATGTACAAAGAAATTGTATAAAAGCCTAAACTATTTGTTGGGATTTTCTATTTTCTTTTTTTTTTTTTTTTTTTTTTTTTTATTTTTTGTCTGCAAATACATATATTTTTCCATTTAACATGAAAAAAAAAAAAGAAAAAGTTTTTTTTTTTTTTTTTTTTTGTCTTGCAATACATATATTTTTCCATTTAACATGAAAAAAAAAAAGAAAAAGGAAAAATTACAATAATACTGAGAGTGGATATTGAGGTTGAAAGCAGACTCGGGCTTGGTCCGGTTGGACATGATTGTAGGCATAAATAGTAATCGTTGGCTGGGCTTGATCCTAATGAAAATTACTGATCCAGCATCTAAGAGTGTCTTCCAAGCAAGCATGCATATTCCAGAAAATCTATATGAAAATTCAAAAATATCCTATAAATACACGCAATATTTACAATTTATGGCTTCTAGGTCCAAATGGCTGTCTTGGAATTGTTCTAGCTCTATACCACTGTTTTTCAAATTGTACCAATTCAGACCTCTAATTTGGGGCTGGCTTTTGGGTGTCAACAATATTTAATTGCATTGTATTTCATTTTTTTAAAATAAAGCTCTTTGGTTTCATTGTATTAGTGATGCAATCAGAAAATTCAATGGGTTCCAATTAAAATATATAATTTATAAAAATAATATAAATAATAAAAACCTTACAAAGAAAATAAATTGTTAGAATTAAAATATAATATTCATCGCCTATTTTTAAGTAACGGAAATCTATTCACATAATTTTATTCTCAATATTTGCAAATATCTCTCTTTCAATGTAAAAAATTATCAAATACTCACTGGCAACTGCCGAATATTTTAGTAAGTAAGCTCTACATACCTGATTTCTGACATTAGGTGGATAATAGCTCATTATGTTAGGTTGCGCGTTTTGGATCATAATGAATGTTCTCTATATTAAGCTCAAGTTTTTCA